CTCATGTTATTATGCGTAGTATGATTGGTTGTTAATAGTTAATAGCATCCTAATAAAATATTATCATAATACAAAATGTATTAACATATCGGATTTGGCACATCTATATAATAATATATACTTTCTTTTAATCTACATAGCTAAGCATTCACCTGTTGTCACTTTTGTTGCAAGACATGGACGCCTTTTCCACATAAAAACAGGGAATTGGCGTGATTCATTTCAAGCTTTCAATGACGAATCAATCAATCTTTAAATGAACTAAATAGACAATTGAATCATCAATCAAAAATCATTTTAAATCCAAATTTCTCAAAAAATCGTTTATCCTGTAATGATAATTTAAGCAACAATCAAATAAAATGAAACGATTTAATACACGACGACGGTAAACTTAGTACTATGATTAAATGACTGTGACTTTGACTGAATTTTTATATAAAATTGTGAAAAAATAGTCCTCAATATAATTTTAATAATAATCTTGATTTCAGTTATGCCCGTGAGTTTCCTGACCCATATCTCAGTCATGGTATTGGTCCTGTACCTGGTTATGGGGTAAGTCTTAACATTAAAATTTAGGTAGAGATCAATGAACAAATGATATCGTTTGATTTTTTCATTTTTTACAGACGGCAATGTACCGAGGAAGCTATAATCGTTTTACGCCATATTGAATATCTCTAGCTGTGACCAAAAAAACTAACCTGGATAATTGTATGAAGTTTATGCAGTGTAAAATGCATATGTAAATTTCGAATCAAATACAGTAGCATCGAGTCAGCCATTTTTTTTATTCCCCTTTATATTAAGTCTATTATCTTCATCAAACCAAATAGAACCAAACAAATTTTAGTTCGAATTTAATAACTGTTAAAATTCATTAAATATGCTAACTAAATTTAAAAAAAAAAACGCACTTGGATTAGCTCAACCACAATTTTAGATGTAAAAGCAAAATTAGAGTTAGAATAGTAGTATTGAACAATTTGATAAAAACCATACAGAAAAAAGTCTAACGAACAAAAGAAGGATGAAATGAAAATAAAATTCATTGAACTGTACGTAAAAAATGTCGATTTGACATACAAAATAATTCTCTAATGTCTATTAAGATAATATAACCTTTCGAAAATTCAAATACGAATGCTCACTCAATTGCCATATAGTCCGGTTGTTGATCAATCGATTCGATTAATTTAATTTCGATCAATGAATGCCAATACACAAAGACTTTATGATGACAATGAATGAAAGTAATGCTCCATACTTGTGTGAAAATCAATTAAACGAAAGATGTATTACTAAGTAATTCTAATGTTTTACGATATACTTCGTTGTGGCCACGTATTCGTTTTGCAAAATATTAGTGAGTTAGATTTAAATTTACAAATACACGGGGCATTGTTTTTTTTTCATTGTCGTTAATTGAGTTACGCACAAAATAAATTAAAAAAAAAAAAGATAAGACACGGGTTATAATAGATTTCGCACATCATATGAATTGTTTTTATGACTATAATTTTTCGTAACTTCTCTCATTTTAGATATTTCAAGTAACAAACAATACTCAATCAAAATACTGATACTGATATATAAATATATATATATATAATCAACCAAAAACAATTGTTAACACTATTTCATAGAATGAGAATACTTTCTTTTTTCTTCGTAGAATAATAAATAATACATGGAAAAAGCAGCCAAAGTTGTTAAAACGAATCGCAGTCATTTAGGGGCTCGAAAACTTTTATTAGATTTTAAATACATAAAATATTAGCGAGAAAAATGGTACAGGTAAAACTCCTGTTGAACAAAACAAATAATGCTCCCATGATAAAATACTAAGAGTATTCCGATCAAATTTGCAGCAATATTTATAAAATGAATCAATAAATGAGAGAAAGTTCTTGAGTATTATAATTTTTGTTTTAAAAATTGCTGACAAATATGACCGGGTACTCGCAAAATATGAATCCATGACATTTTAAAATTTAAAAACAAAATATTATTTATTCCTCCATTCATTTTCAACAATTTTTTTAAAATCAGTAATATTCCGATTTGCAGCTAATATTGTTAAAACATATAAGTAATCACTGACTCATTTACAGAATTTCTGTTCAACTTTAAAATTGTAGACGACAAAACATATCTTAAAATAAATCAATAAAATTTTATGAAAGCCCAATTGATTTGTGTTATAATATTTTTTTCTCGATTTGTAATATGGTTTGTTACAAAAAAGAATTATATTAAAACATTTCGAAAATATAGATTTTCATTGGGTGGAAATTGCGGCTGTGGGGCCATTCTTTTTTTAAGATTTGTAGCCATAGAAGTTCCTACCTATAGGAATGATCAGAACGAGAAAATGGAAATTAATCAATATGCAATGGAACCGAATGGAAAATGAAATTATAAAAGAAGTTCATACGTTTCTACAACTTTTTCGAGTTGATTTTGTAATTTGAATGCAGCTCAAAATAATGCTTACGAGCACCATAAATTCAACGATAGCAATAAAAGCACCTGCTTTTAAAAACATAAAATAATGATTCTGATACCATGCATTAAGATGTTCTAAACAATTTTCACTATGTCGTGCTCCATTATATTCATGCTTGAGCAATGATTGGCATAGTGAAATATTCATCGGTTTTGGATCGAGATAAGAACGCTCTTCGTTGATATTTTTGAGGATGCAACATGTTTGTGGTACTGTCTGAAAGTTTTTATAATATTCGGAGAAAAAACGTATAGAAATAAATTAACTGAATGGGTACTATGTGAAGATCTTTTTTACCCAATCTTTTTGCCCGAAGTTCTGAAGTTTCCATAAGGACATATCATAGTTTACGTTACTCGATATAGCACAGCATTTGAAATGAGTTTGAATTAAATCAATACTATCCGTCATCTGTAATATATTGTTTCACATAAAGTTTAAACAAGCTTTTCATATGATAAAAACATCCGCATATTTTGGACTTTATTACTTGTTGCTGTACACCATAAGAGTTTTGCAGTATTTTTACCATAAGAGATTCATTTAATTGAAGACCAACACACTTTGGCCAGACAGTCACCATTGAACAAAATGTAGACTCGAATAATAACAGCACGACTAGAAAATACTGAATAATATTTGTTTAAAATCAATGTTTAAAATTTGAATGATATCAATGATTTGTTTTTATTTCATACAATGCTCAAATTGCAATAATTACACCAAAAAATCGTCCACCAGCCAATGAGACTAACAAATATGACAACCAAACCAACTGCTGCAATCAGCAGGGCTAAATAATAGAAAAATGGATGTGGAAGATTCGATAGGACTTCATTGTT